TTTCCAAGGTTACCTGAAGAGCAGGTTGGAGGTGGGATTTGGAATCTCATTTCAGAGCCTTTGGCCAGTCATCATGCCATTCTGCTCTTGGGGTCCCTTGTGGAGAGGAAGAAGGGAGAACAGTGATTAGACATGCTAGAACTGCCCTGGGGGTGGCTGCCACCTAGAGCACTTTTGTGTCTTTTTTAGGATGAGTCACATGGCTGGAGGTGGTATGTGCCTTCCCTATGCCCAGCCTCCATCTTTATAATTCATCAAAATCTTTTCCAGACTTTTTTGGTAGCACTAGGATTGAACCCAGGGCTTCATAAATATCAGACAAGCCTTCAGTCACTGAGCTACATACATCCTGTCTTAGTTACTTTTCCTGTTATTGTTGGGATAAAATACCCAAAGGCCAAAATTAAGGAAAGGTTTACTTAGCTCCCAATTTGTAGAGATAACTTTTTAGTCCAGTTTTCAGTCCATAGTTTTGAGTCCATAGTCAGCTGACACCAAACCATGGTGGCATAGTAGAGGGGCAGCAGCTCTTGGTGGTGGGGGACAGCAAAGGCACTAAGAGCTAGAAAGGGGGAGAGTAAAACCTCTTTCCCTCCCTTGTATTGTAAGCGGGCTCCCCGCCCTAGGGCAGGTGCAGCACTCACACCATCCTCAGGCCCTTTTGCATAGACTCAGGATATTTACAAATGAGGGCCCTGGCCCCTGCTGGGGCACTCAGTTAAACTTCTCAAACTGACACAAGGAATCAACCATTTCAACATCCTAGAGTGTAAACAGCCTTCCGAGGGCATGTCCTCTACACCCCAGGATGTAGAACTGTTGCCTTACTTAGTTGAGCTTCTAGACTTCTCAAGTTGACCTAATATATCAACCATTATTCATACATAGCCCATTTTTTTCATTTTTAAGTTTCATTGTGAGACAAGGTCTCACTAAGTTGTCCAGGCTGGCCTTGAATTTACAATCTTTCTGCCTGAGGCTCTGTAGTATCTGGGATCACAGTCATTCACCATGGTGCCTGGTTCTAGAACATTTTAATCTAAAATTTGTTTCTATTACTTTTTAAAAATTGACTGTTTTTATTCTTTATAATCACCTCCTTGTTTTTCTTCACTTTTTTTTTTTTTCCGGTACCGGGGGTTGAACTTGAGACCTTGCACTTGCCAGGCACGTGCTTATGCCACTGAGCTATCTCCCTATATAAAGTCTTCACTCTTATATGAGTAGGCCTTCTCTTCTTTGCTGGAGATGCTACGTGAGGGGTTTGCTTGATGCAGCTACACTTCAGAGCTTTGAGGCTCTCCCTTCTGCCTCTCCCAGCCAGGCTCTCCCCGGGACCATTTGCTGTCCCCCCTGTGGTCCCTGCCTACCTGGCCCAGGGCTCCAAGGGCACAGAGTGTCGTAGTGCAGGATGGGCTGGGTCGTGGCCCAGTCGGGCATCACAAACGCCAGGCCCCCTCAAGGCCTGGCAAGCCGTGTGGCGGGGGAGGGCTAGCAAAGGTCCATCCTCAGGGGAATGGGTGCCGGGGCAGCTTCTTTAGAAGACCTCAAACCTGTTTCTTGATTTCTGCACCTTAAAGTCAGAACTAAGTATTGTTTCGGGTTGCTTTGAAAATCCTCAGCCCTGAAAATCGTGAGCCCTTTTATTTTGTGCGGGGCCTTGTGGAGGCCCTGCGGAGTATGCAGAGCTGGCCGGTGGGTCCAGGCCTGGGGAGTCTTTTTGTCTTGGGTCAGGCTTCTCTCCTCTCCAGCCACCCGGCTCCTCCTCCCTCCTCCCTTGCAGGGGGAAAGCAGCCCAGGCAATATGCAAATGAGTGGGCGTGGCTGCATGCCAGGAAAAATCTATTTATGGATCCTGGAATTTGAAATTCACATAACTTTTCACGTGGCATGAAATAGTCTTTTGATTTTTCCCAAGCATTTGCAAGTGTCAGAGCCCTCCTTTGCTTGCAGGTGTAGATCAGCAGGCAGGGTTTACCCTACCTCGTAGGAAGACGGCCAGGCCCGGCCAGTGAGGCGGCCAGGCAGCAGCGCCTTCCCAGGCTGGCTTCTCTGGGGGACTGGAGGACATGACCACCACATTTTCGTCTGTCAGACTTGCAGAGGAGCGGCAGCCCTCCTCCCCTGGGCCCCGTGCCCCCTCCCTGGGTGCACTGTCTCTGCTAGCTGCCACGGCTCCCCAGGGTGGGGACTGCAGGTTGTGAGGAGCCGGCCGGAAGGGGCTGGTTGCAAGGTTGGGCCAACGCAAACCACCACGCGAAGTCAAAGCTGGAGAATGAATCGTCTGCAGCGGGGTCCTTAGGAAGCCAGATCAGGCACCTCCACGACCTGCCCCAGAGCAGGTAGATTTGGGGCTGGGCGTCCTGGGCAGCAGGTACAGTGAGTGGTTCTTCCCCTCTGGAAATCTTCAAGGGCATCTCCAGCGGATGTGACCAAGAGCCCCCGCCACATTCCACCGGAAGAAGACAGACAGCAGGCAGATGGGACCTGCCCCAGGTTGACAAATGCTACAGGGAAGACGGAGCCCCCTACAGCAGGAAGCTCCTGACTGAGACCTGAGCGAATGCAGGGACCCGGAGTGTCCAGCAGAGGGGACCAGGAGGGCAGAGGCTGAGGAGACAGAGTCAGGAGGCCTCTGCAGGAGGGCTCTTGCCATTTTCTTGCCGTTTCCTTCTCTCGTGCTGCACGTGGGGCCAGCTCTGGACCCTGGGGCCCCCTGACTGTGCCACCCCGGCTGAGCCTCGCCATCTGCTGCTCTGTGCTGCGGCTTGTGCCAACCTCCAGTCTGACAAGTGATAAGGAACTTGGAGACGTAGCCCTGGTGGGTGGGCACTCGCTGCCAGCTCCACGGCATCCATATGGGGTGCTTGGGGGTTTTTGAAAAGTGCGTGGTCTCATGTCCTCCTCCATTTGCCCAGAGGAGGCGAACAGGGATGGGTAGTAGGCAGTGCTGAGTTTCCTATGGCTGAGAGTACAAGAACTTCTGGGCTCAGCTTCTAGCCACGGTGGTGGCTGGAGAGGAGGGTGGCACCCTGAGGCCTGCCGTCCAGTGGGTGCTGTGTCTTGCTGGCCCGTGCTCTGGTTGTTAAGAGGGGCTTAGGATGGGGCTTCACACACAGCAGGCATTGGTCAGTGATCCCATTATGGTCCCCGTCATCACACAGATACCCAGTGCGGTTGATCCACTTAGGGTGGGTGTTGATCCACTGAGGGAGGGACCCCTGCCTAGGAGGTCTGGCAGCAGAGAGAAGGTGGGTGCAGGGGCTGGTGCAGCTCTGCAGGGGAGGGCTTGCCCCACATGCATGAGGCCCCCCATCCTGCCTGCCCTGGTGAGTGGCCTGGGGCTTGAGGGTTGAGGGGTCCCAGAAGTGCTCCGTGGTCCCCTTCTGTCTACCACGTCAGGCCCTGTGGGTAGGGGCCGGGCCAGGCAGCTGGAGGATCTTCTCAGAGGCAGGTCTTCCAGGGAGTGGCGTGGGGACAGGGGAAGAGGGGCTTGTACATATCCAACGGTGCAGATGAGCCCAGAGGGTGCCTGTGGCAGGAGGACTGAGGGCTGCAAGCAAGTGGAGGGGGGAGGGCGTGGCTGGGTGCAGGCCGATTGCACAAAGCCAGAGGCTAGGGAGGAGCCATGACCTCCAGGGACTGCATGTCACAGCAGAAGGCCTGGCTATCATGGGGCACAGAGTGAGTCGTGGGGCTGACCTAGTCGAGGCAGGAGCATTGGGAGGTGCAGTGCCTGGGGGGTGGGCAGCAGGTGGGCTGAGGTTGAGCAGTGGCCTGGATGTGGCCCCAGGGTAGGGAAGCCACCTGTGTCACCAGCTCATGGTGTCTGGAGCCAGAGAGCAAGGACAGCCATCCATGGAGGGGCTACAGCAAATGTCCTCTGTGGGCAGCAGGGGATGTTGGCCAGGCATGTGGAAGGGAGCGGCCCTGTCTGGCCTGATACCCTGTGAGTGCACTGCTGTCTCTCAGGGTCCAGGCTGGCCACGGGCTGGGTCCAGGGATGTAGAACCAGACCCTTTCCAGACCCCGCTGTACCCCCCGCTGCAGGTCCACCCACCACGCCTGGGTGTCCTGCTGCCCTCCTGTGCCACCTTGGCCCGGGCAGGCCACTGCAGCTCCCGTGCTCAGGCACCCCTTCCAGCTTAGGGCCAGCTCCAACCGAAGCTTCCTAGGTCACTTTGGCGGGCGGTGTCCTTCTTGTGGAAGGCCTGCAAGCCATGCTGCTGGGCTCTGCCCTGTCTCGATGAATAGGTATCGGCCTGTCTGCTCCCGTCTGTGGGGTCCTGTGGTGACAGGAGGAACCTGAGTTTGATGCTGCACCAGGCCTGGCTAGCTGGGCGGAGCTAGGTCACGCCTTCAGCTCCCAGTCTGGACATGAGGAAGTGGTTGTTCTTTCGGTGGGTGCAGAGGACCCCCAAAGGGCTCTGCCCAGAAGGCCCCTGCCCTTCACATGGGTTCAAGGCCTCTCCTTGAACCCCTGTGTGCCCAATAAATATCCTTTGTTGCACTGGGGGGAAGAGCTCCTTAAAACTTTCTGTAATACTTTTAAAAGAATTCAGAGGGGCTGAAATATGCAGCCATATTTTCCAGCTCCTAGTAAAAATAGTTTACATATGGCTGAGAAAAATAAAATTCATTTGAGGCCAGCTTTGCCAGAACTGGAGTTTTCAAGTGTCAATTAACAAAAAGATTTTTCTTACAGTCCTAAAAAGGAACAAATTGTGTTTGAAACTTACTGCTTTACATCAGAAAGAGTTTTTTTTTTTTTTAAACTTACTAAGACCGTTTACCAAGAAAATTGCTTTGAAAACATTCAATAGATGCGAAGTGTTCTTTTTTCCCTAGACGTGTCATTTTGCAATGCCTACCACCTCGAATCTTTGAAAACATTGTATTTTCCAAGAAGTATTAAAAAAAAAAGTTTCACATTTTTCATCACCGTTTTGGCTTTTAACACAGTGTCTCTTGACCTTTCCCAAACCACTTTCTGTACGCAGGTTTTCAGGAACCTGAAAACGGTCATGAAAGCCTTTCAGCTCGTCGACGTGAACCGCAGGGGCCTGGTGCAGCCGCAGGAGCTGCGCAGGGTGCTGGACACCTTCTGCCTGCGGATGACGGAGGAGGAGTACCGGAAGTGAGTGCGGGGGGACGGGGGCGCCCGGGGCCTGCAGCCCGAATCCCTCCTCACTCACGCCCCCTTCTTTCCGGGCCTCTCTCCTGGTTCCCAGAGCCCCCCGAGAATTCCTGCCTGGCAGCTCCATGCTCCGGTGCCCCAGAGCGGGCGCATCCGCCAGCCTGCACCGCGTGCTGCCTGCGCCGGCGCCTGGCCTCCTTCCTCCCGCGCAGGCATTTGTCGCCCACCGTGGAGCTTGCTTCCAGGCCGGGCTTCAGAGGAACCGTGTGAGGATGTGATGTACTAACATGAACCCGTCTTTCCACCAGGAGGCTGTCACTGTGGGTGTGGTGGGGTGGCGCGCTCTGCACATTTAACTGCCCCTTCGTGCTTGAAGCCACCGCCACCTGCTCCCGCTGACAGGGCAGCGCAGCCTGCAGGCTCTGGCAGGGCCTCGGGTGAACTCCAGGTCGTTCAGAAGAAGCCAGACCCGTGGCTTCCGTGCAGAAGTGGGGTAGAGTGAAAGGCAGTGGAGGGCGGGCTCCTGTTTGGCCCGCTCCTAACGCACCCAGCAGACACAAAGCCTCTCAAAGGATTCCTGAAACACCCCATAGCCTCGCTTCCAGCGATTTCAGTTATCTATGGGAGGCTGAGGCAGGAGGATCATCGGGAGTTCAACACTAGCCTGGGCCACAAAGTGAGCTCAAGACCAACCTGAGTTGCATAGGGAGACCTGGTCTCAATGAATAAACAAACAATGAAATGGGAAATCCCAGAAATGTTTTAAATAACTTTTCTCATAGTGTATTAGTTGAATTGCTGTATCTTATTATGAATTATTAATGTGTTTCTGTGGCCATACACTAGACAGTAACCTATGTTTGCATGTACAGGGCGCAGCATAGTACTGTTGCTGTTTTCTGCCTGCACTGTCCGCATCCCTTGGGGCTTGGGGCATCCCTGCCACTTAGAGGGCAGTTGTATCCAGCAGGTTGTTCACCAAAGTACTGAGTTTGCTTTCACCAGGAGCAAAGGCTTCCTGCTGCCCTCGGGGCAGAAGGAGCTCTAGCTGGGCCATCACTGCCCCCAACAGGTCTCATAAAGACAAGCAGGACAAGGAAGCTGCTGCTAGTGGCAGAGGAATTGGCCCCAGGGCAGGGACATGTGGCACACGTGCTGCAGGGGTAAATAGCAAGGAAACTTAAAAAAGAAAAAAAAAAAAAAAGGATATTTCCCACTTCTTTGAATATTTTTTCTTTGCTCCTCTTTATAACCCACCTCCGAATATAAAAGACATAATAGATGTTTTAATTTTTACATCCTTTCCGGCTGGGAAAGTGTCCAGAATAAGATCCAAACAAAACAAATTAAATAATTTTGCACACGCAATTATAGAACAGAAGCAGCGCTCTTCTAAAACAGGCAATCAAAGACAAAGCTGTGTTTTATTTGACAATAAACCTTGCATTTGGCACTGCAGTCTCCAACCTAGTAAATCTATAAAAAATGTTACTGTCTGTTTCCCCATCTCTTAAGTATTGAATAATAAAGAACTGCACGAATTTTTATTCGAGACTTTGTTTTGAAGCCTCCAAAACAATGCTGTTTTCAAGATAAGGCCGGAGAAACTTCACATAATAGAACTGCTTCCTGCAGACAAGGGCCTGCGGAGGATCAAAAAGGGGAGCGTCGCTGCCCTGGCCTTCATGTCTCCCGGCTGAAGCTCAGTTGCGCACTTTTCCCAGAGAAGCTGCTTCGGTATTAACAGTGCCTTTTTAATTTGGGGGCCAGAAACAATGCCATTTGGAGGCCCTTCTTTGATGTAGCAGCTTTTTAACTACGAGCTGCATTCGACCCTTGCCGCTGTGGGAACGGCGGGGCTCACGCTTCCAAGTCAGGCCTGAGAGGCCAGGCTTGTGCTGTACGAGGCGTCCTCAGACTGGGACCTTGGATGCTCTGGGTCCCCTGAGGCTCGGCTGAGAGTTCACCTCCCAGGACAGAGCTGAATGCCACATGTGTCAACCATGCCAGCCACGCCTGGAGAGATTCTGGGTGCCCAGGGCTCCTAGTTCCCTGTAGGCTGCAGAATGCTGTCCAGCCTGCGTGAAGCAAGAGACCGGAGAGCGAGAGAGCACCACACGCTCACCTGGAGTAGGCTGGAGCCCACTCTCCCTCCAGGCCGAACTGTTTGAGTCTGTGTAATGTAATCTGTGAGCAAACAAATTTTGGAAGTACACTAACCTCCAAATCTCAGGGGTCAGCCTGCTGCCCAAAGCCTGAGGCTTTTTCTGCAGGTGTTTGAGCTTGGGCAGGTTTGCAGATCGCTTGGACTCCTTCCTTCTCCCAGCCTGGCCCCAGTGAGGCCCACCTGCCTGCTGGTTTCTGCAGATGTCTGAGGCCCTTGCCCCGAACACACGTCCTTAGACGGAGACTGTTGTCATTGTCTCTTAGGAATGTTCCTGTCTCCCATCTTTGCTTCCTGTAAAAAGCCTCTGGACACGCTGTCTTCCTGGGCAGGGCTGAGGTGTCCAGCTTCAGGTTTGATCCACAGGATACGTTCCCCGGGACTCTGTCCGCCGGGGGGTCTGCAGCAGGAACTGCGAGCTTGCACGGGTTGGGCCATGCCACGTGGCAGGGTTGTCTCTGAGCGAAGCCCTGGGTTCAAGAAGTGCGTTGTTCTTGAAGCCCCGCAGGCCAGCAGCAGACCTTCCATAGCATCCTGCATTTTCCTGGAGCAGCCCACCAGCCAATGGGTTCCCCACTCAGAGAGGTCCCCACGAGCTGCCACCTCGGCTTCCCGAAGTCATCACATATTTTTACAAGATCAAGGCCAAGGAGGAAAGACGGGGCTTCTTGGGGAGTCTCTGTTCGCATCTGGCAGCTGTCATCCCTGAAGATAAGTTTTCTTCCTAGAACAATAGGCAGACTTCATCAAAGTGGGAAAATAGGTATGCGTTGAAATAAACATATGACATTGCTTGCTGTTAAATTCGGAGAACAGAAAAATAACAAATACCTTAAGTAATAATTACTAAAATTTTTAAAAAGCACCATGAAATTAGATAATTATAGAAACCAACACATATGGTGAAAATATAACCAAACACATAAAAACTGTCAATTTTAAAGAAATATAATAACTCAGAAATTATCTGGAAACACATTTCTCAAGTAGCAGGCTTGAATAACAGCAAATCCATTTTGAAGAATCCGGGCGTTCTGTTTACCTCAGCCTATGTTAGTGGCTCACAGGTTTCAAAGATTTCTGGTTATGTGTGCACACCGCAGATGCTTCAGGGACAACCTGGGTCCTTCCAGTTGCTGTTGGCTGCTTTGAGCCCGGTGTCATCTGTGGACCGCGGTTTCTCTCTGATGCAATCAGAAAGGCCCCCTGTGTGTCTCCAGCCCCTCCCGGCGTAGGCACCCTGGTGGTGGGCACGTTGTGCCACCTGGCTCCCTCCACAGAAGACAGGAAGCTGGCATACCTGCTTTCGCTGTCCCAGTGGGTTGGTGGCTGCCTGGACCCTGGTGCCCTCCTCTCCCCAGGAAGGGGAGGGGGCACCTGTGTGGGTGGCGGGGCGGGGGAGTCCTGCCTGCTTCAGGTCTCTGCTCAGCCGTCTGAAGGCCGAGCAGCTGGTTTCCTCCAGAGTCTCTGCATTTTAAAAACCTGCCAGTGACATTTCCCAGGGTTTGCTTCTAATTCCAGCTGTAGTTAGACGCAGACATTAAAATTAATGCAAGCTCCAACGCAGAGCGTGCCTCAGGAACGCCGAGGATGGCCTTCGCCGTACGCCGCTGCACCGTGATGTCTGGTCTGCAAGGAATCTCTGTGTTTCAGGTTCTCAAAACGCTACAACATTGATAGAGACACTGCGGTGGATTACAGCATGTTTTTGAAGAACCTCAGCAAAAGTAATGACCTGCACCTTAGATATTTTATGGCGAACCAAGGTAAGGACCTTTACGTCTTTGCTAATGATTTCGGTATCCTTTGACATGGTCGTTGCTATTCTGTTCCTGAGAGGCGAATACTTTCAAATGTGGAAAATGGATCATCTGCAAAAATAGCTGGCGGATCATTAGTCATGAGAACGACGTAAGTGTCGAACAGCAGAAGCAGCACAGGGTCTGGCACATCCGCACAGCACGCAGACAGCTAGGAGCCGAGGGCTGCGGCTGCAGCAGGCATGTGTGCGGTTAGTCCCCGGCTGTAAAATGACCTGAGGACACATAGACTGTCTTCAAGTGTTATGTGTGAGTGTCATTTGTTCTTCCTGTTGCTTCTGTATTTTCAAAATTTCTTGATAATTGACACATATTCCTTTAATGGAAAAAAAAATCTTCATCTAAAAGGGAAAGAAATTGAGTGATTTACAGTTATATCAGATATGTAAAGCCCATAATCCACTCGTGTGTGTGTGTGTGTGTGTGTGTGTGTGTGTGTGTGTGTTTGATACAGGGTCTCACTATGCAGCTCAGACTGGTAGTGATCCTCCTGTTTTCAGCCTCCCCAGTGCTGGGATTACAGGCGTGTGCCACCACTCCTGGACTGTCGTCGGCTCAGCCCACCCTGGGATGGGGCCAGCATCACTTGCCAGTGTCTACTCTTGAGAGAGAAAATTCCCTTGCACACAGTCCGTCTCCAGCCTCAATAATGTGATACCCAGAGGTGTCCAGCTGTTGGCTAGTTCTGACAAGACGGGGTCCACTTCTTGGAGGTGAATGTCTGTCTACCACCCTCCCCTTCCTGGCCTCGGGCCATTTTTCTGGCCTTCATAGCATTTTCCTTGTGAGGTTTCCCGCCCCAAGAGTTTGTGGCCCATCACTGGCTCCTTCGACCCAGGTCATCTCTGTCTGGTTTCAGCTTAATTAAGTTGGGCAAACACTCACCAGGCACCTTCTGTGAGGCTCTGTTCTGCCTCGCCAGCAAGCTGAAGCACGACAGATTGTCTGGTCGCAGCCTGGTTCTGCTCGTGGTAGAGCTGAGGACTCCAGAGCCGCCCGTGGCAGGCACTGTGCTGGGCATGTTCTTGTGTCATCTCTTGTCATTTTCCCTGCAGCCTTACGACAAAGTGAAAGATTGAAATAAACCATCAAAGCAGCCTCACCAGCCAGAAATAACTGTCAGCATTATCCCTGGCACCTTCCCATGCATATGGAAAGGAAGACAGAGAAAGAAATCCATTTGGAAAACGGGGTCATGTGGATGCGATTTTATGTGAGAACTTACTGGCGTGCATCAGAGGGGTAGAAACTGCAGGACAACTCGAGGAAAGGATGACACTTGGGCTGGCTGCCACATCCACAGGTTACCCTTCTCCCTTTCAAAACGTCAGAAGCGCTGCCCCGAGACCTACCAGGATCCAGCCTGGGTGCGAAGTCTGAGGCCTGCTTAATTTTCTCCCTTTTCTTGGCAATCGGCTTCGTGTTGCTGGCTGCCGAAAGAACGTTTTATCCCCAGCCCCGAGAGGACGCGTTTTCTGCATCAGCTTTTCAGAACACAGTATAGTCCTGCGATTTCCTCAATTCTTCTCCCGGTGTGAAGAGTTTTAAAATAACACTACGTGTCTTTGATACTCTCTCCCATTTTCCAGATTTCTAGCTTCAGGGATGCAAATCACCCTTCTCTCGGCTGTCTGTGTTCTCCGAAGGCTTTCTTCTTGTCTTTTTCGCCCGTGTGCACAGTGATCGCCTTTGATCTGTATTTACATCTGTGATGTGATTGTCACCAAGATCTGATCAGTTCCTTGTCATTTCTAATTTACCTATGAGATTATTCTGTCTTGGGTTAGTCTATTATTTTCTATCTCGTTGTCTTATCATCTGTCATTAAGCTCTTGTTTTACTGAACTCATGTTCTTAGTAAGATATTCTGTAGTTTTTAAAAATCTTGGCGTAATTTTCTTACGCGGTGGACTCTGCCTTTTCCTCTGCTTTTTCCAGCCTCTCCTCTCTTTTTTTCCTTGTAGAGTTTGTATTCATTTCAAGAAATTTGAATAAGGTGAGGATTTTTTCTAGTCTGTTTTACTTTCTTCTGTTGACCTTTTATTTCTTCTTGCATGATTTTTGTTTCATGATATACATCTTTAATTGATGAGAACCTACCTTTAGCAACTATTATACTAATCACACAAAGTGTGAGAACTTCGCAGCAAAATTTTCTCTTTTTTTTTTTTCTATTTAATTTATTGACTATAGGGTCTCGCTCTGCAGTTTGGACTCATAGTGCTCCTCCTGTCTCAGCCTCCCCAGGCTGGGATTACAGGTATGCACCACCATGGCCTGTTCCAAGGCTGGCACAGTGGGGATTGAACCCGAGTCCTTGGGCTTGCCAGGCAGGTGCTTAAACTGCTGAGCTATCTCCCTGGCCGCCCTTGTTCCCTAGCTGTGCTCCTGTCCTTCCTCACTGTGGCTCTCCATTGCAGCTGCTGCAGCTTCCCGTCTGTTCGGTCATCGTGAGCATCTCCTCCCAAACACCACTACTGGCAAACTTAAAGAATATTGCAGCGCTTTAAGTGTTTTTTAACCAGCTAGTGCAGCATTTTGGTGGTCTCAGAGTTTGGTCTTTATGGATTCCTTTCCCCCTTTTTTCTCTTGTTTGTAGAGTGCAGTTTCCTGTTGCAGTAAATTTGGGATTTCTCCTGACTGTGGTAAATTTTGCATTGTTTCAGGCTATGGCTTCTTTTATGTTCCTCTGCAAATTTTAACATTTTTTTCAAAATTTTTTTTTAATCAGTCAGTCTGCTAGGCTGCTGGGACGGGTTTTCCTCCCTCAGGGGTAGCACCTGGAACCTGGGCACTGCTGTCGCCTGCTAAGCTGGGCAATTTGGCCTCTGTCCTGCATGTCAGAATTCAGAAGTGGGCCAGAGATTCGGCCTCGCTTTTGCCACACTCTGCCTCTTCAGTGGGGGCTTCCTGCTCGCTCTCCAGCCGCTGTGGCAGTCCTGGACTGTTTTCTGACTCCCGAAGGCCACAAGACCCAGTTCCTGCCACTGTGCGCGGTCCCTGCCTGGGTGCAGGTTTTCCAGTGTCGGCTTAAGTCAGCGTCTGGATTTGGGGCTCCCTGCGCCTTCCCATAGCTTTGTGTATATTTTGCCTGGAGTGTGTAATTGTTATCTGCTGGGAGTGTGGGTTTAATATGAGCTAATCCACCATAATTGGAAGCAGAATTTTCTGGCTGCTCATATTAAGTGTTGTTCTTTTTTTATATGCATACAATTTTTACTGTTTTTTCTCCTTTTGCTTATTTCATATGGTATTGTAAGAGAGTCAGTTCTAGAATACTATTCCACTTTACCATGGAGATCTGTGGCACTTCTCACTCTGCTTTTTGTCCTATAATCATCAGCAGGCTTTCTTTATTAATGATACATAATGTGTTGACACATTGTGCAGGGAAAGGTATCTTTTTTTTTCTTTTTTTAAAAAATATTTTTATTGAGAAACAAATAGCAATGAGACATTTTCACAACCGATTACTAGTACATTTTCAATAATTAATACATTGCATATTGTTGTCTTAGTGGTAGGGAAAGGTATCTTTGATTTGATTTCTAGCCTCTTGTATATTTCTGAATATGCACTGTATATTGAAGTGTGATCAGAATGTATGGTGCGTGTTGAAATTTCGAAAAATTATTGCAGTAAAAAACATATTTCCATTAATCTCGTTCAGAATACTGTCTCACCCTAAGAGACATGGGAGTATGGTGGCTGCGGCTGCCGAGCGCCGCCCAGACACACACAGGCTCAGAAAAGCTTGTTGCTGCGTCCTCTGCCACATCACAATGTGACTTCTGGCTTCTCCCAACATCCAAGTAGTCACGAAAGGGTAACACTTTGAATCATTTCAGAATGTGGAGGCGGCCGCGACAGTATAACTAACGACAGGCCTGAAAGAACATCAGAGCTGCTGCAGAAAGCAGCAAGAACGGTGGGCTAAATAGACTCAAAGTGATGGCGGAGGGTTGTGAAGAGGCTGCTGGCCACGTGCCTTTTACTTCAGTTTTTAAAAATTTAAATATTCACCACGTTTTTCTGGCACGCCTCCTATATCTCTGGCCCCGCAGCACTAGCTGCACTCCTGTTGCCGTCTCCCAGTTGGACTCCTGGCTTTCTGCACTGCCCTAGTCCTGCCCGTATGCCACACGTGGCCACAGAGGTCATCTGTAAAAATATCTTGTTCAAGCCTATTTTCTCACTGAAGCCATCTATACTCTCTGACTTCTATAGTTGAAATTCAAATCTTTTAGGGGTGGGGAGATAGCTCGGCAGTCTAAGCACCTGTCTGGAAAGTTCAAGGAACCAGGTTTGATCCCTGGTACCGCAAGCCGTGCTGGCCCTGGAACCCTGGGTGCTCTGTGCCAACAACTGAAACCAGGCGCGGTGGCGCACGCTTGTGATCCCAGCGTTGGGGAGGCTGAGGTAGGAGGATCACTATGAGTTTGACCTGTGTAGTGAGACCTTGAACCAAATAAATAAATGAATAAATAAATTCAAGCCTTTCAGCTAGAGGCCAGACCTTTGGGGTGCATGTTCCAGAATAAAGATGGAGCTGTGGGGAGTTTGGGGCAGCTCTGGCCTGAGGCTGTGGACACCGGGCAGCGGTTGGGCAGCAGCGGGGAAGGCTGCATCCCTGAAGCCAGCGGCTCAGCTTCTCCTCCCGCCCAGGCAGCTGCGCCTCCTCAGCCATGCAGTGGGAATCTCAGTGCAGCACTGCCTCCTGGGTTGGCTCGTGATGGAAACCACTGTATTTGCAGGACAGATTGGCTAATTTGAATTCGAACCTTACTTGTCTTGGGAAGGAGCAAGGAATCCAGGCAGGTCCCAGGGCAGAGAGAGCTCAAGGTCAGCCTCAGACTGGGCTGATTTCTAGGTCTTCCTGCCCAAATTGTTCCGAAGGAGTCTTGCTGTCTTTTGTTTTTATAGGACGGCTGCATAGCCGTGACCTG